GGTGGCGGCAGTATGTACGACGACACGTAGGTAAATGGTATAATAATAATATAACATATACATTATTACGTATTTACTTATGGGGGCAACCCGCACGCACACGGAAACACACGAGTTTTCGACCACGTTTTTGTCGTTATTATGAACACAATCATCCCCTAACATAATATTGTGTGTTGCGGCGATGGCGGTCGGCACATCGAGTGACGGTTTCGCGTGAGCTGTCCGCCAACGTGGTCGATCGTGTTCTGCACCACACGCGGTACGGAAAATTTACGAACCCCGTCTCGAGCTGCGTGTAATTATAATAATATATAACCGTACGCCGGGTATATACCGGCGAATGTATCCATATACCTGCTTCGGTTCACCATTTTTTTTTTCGAACTAAATGTTCCCATGCCAACGTACCGATTGAGTAAATATAATGTTATATATGCCTATCCCATATGAAATCGTTACAGCGGCCTAAATTATAATATTACAATATTATTGAAAGGGTCTATATTGACGTGCCAAAAACCCGTCAATGCACTAAAAAAAAGACCACGAAATATTCTCAAAAAAACATGTGCGAAATTGCTAAAAATATGCTTAAAAAATAATCACTAAAAATGTATATTATTTAAAAACCGGGTTTTTATATATATTGAACAAAAGATTACCCTTATTATATTAATATATTGACAAGGCACTAAGTATTGCTTAGTACAGATAGTAGGGACGCACTGTTCTTGATCACATACTCATCACGCTCGAAACAAAACTACGATGTATTTTATACATAATATTATGTTAATATTTATATAATATTTTTATATACGATTTATCGTCCTCAACCATTTTTGGTAATCTGTCGGACGCTTAAAGCTCAAAATATGATGTCGCGGTCTTATATTTTGGTCTACAATAATTAAAGTAAATTATTATAGAATCTATACTTTGGTATAAATGCAGTTTAGTTTCCATGTGACTATTGAATTGTTTTATTATTATTCTCGAACGCAATTACGAGTGTACTAGTGACGTGTCAATGTGTCACCACAACGATCTGCAGCACTAACAGTTATCACAAAGATAGCGAACATCGATGAAACAAAAAAAAAAAACAAATCGGTCATCAGTATGTTGTGACTTATAGGTCGCAACAATTTCCAAAAATTGGTCGTACCGTAAAAAGTTTGGAAAACTCTAGTTTGGAACAATGCGAGTACGGGAATATGTGAACAACAATATTATTTCCGCCTTCCAGAACAACACCGCAATGTACCTCGAGTTTTCTCTATATAATATATTTGTCACATCGAAACATACTTTTATTGGAAACCATAATATAAGTACCTAACCTCCGGAATCGTACCAGAAAATCATTTGGGAATATTGGTATATTTGCAAAAAAAAAACTATTTCATGTCCAATCGCTCATCCCGTTAAAACGTCAGCTTCAATAATATTTTTAGTTAGATGTAGGTGACGCAATAAGTCACAAGCGACCCGTCGGCGTGTTATATTACTTGGTGATATTATTGGAATTTCGTGCTCCACCGGTCAAGCTTTTAAAGATATTTGAGCACCATATAATATATTACACCCACTAAGATGTACGCTTCGATTGAAAACTACGTACGAAAATGTGCACACTTTTCAACAGTGTACTCAGCGTAATAATATAATGGTATTGTGATTTGCAATGCGTATTTCTATTGCTCCGAAGTCCGAGTGAGATGATTCATCTGTGTGTTAATGTAATATTATTAGCTCTGACAATATTTGCTGGTACACATTCCATATACACCCACTGCAATAATACTTCGAAAAAAATTTGTGCCGAGCTGTGAAACACATGTTCGTCAAAAATAAAAATCGCAAACGTCGAGATACACAATTTCTTGTAATTTATGTAGCTGCAATATGTGCGTCGATATAATATATTGTATATTAATATCATGTGCTCGTGAAACAGGGGAAAAAGAGATAAAACAAGACGAGGTGAATGGTGCAGCAATATTAGGGAGGGAAGGACGCATTATAAGCCAGCAATATCGGGAGAGAAAAAAATTCCTTAACAAAGGCGGTTGGAGTACGTGCGTTACTATATTATGTCATACAAAAAACACTACTGTTATTTTATATTATTACGATAAATACAAAATGCTAAAGCTCATAAACGTTCATCAAGGGGCGTGCATCGCGCGAAGATTTGACGTGTTGTTTAAACGTAAATTTAATGCGACATTGTAAAAATCTCTGAAATACACACATGACGTGTATTATGTTGTGATTGTCTATATTATGGCACCACAGGCGTACACCGCAGTTTAAAAATCGTACGTTATCGTCAAGCTTAGTACCTTCGATGATATAATATACAGTATATCATATTATACGCATACGAAGTGTATATATAACAGGTGGTCCGCTGAAACTGATAAAACTCTGCACTGAGTTACAATAATTATATACTTACACACCCTGTGGTCGTGCAGTGCTGCCGGGTACAATATTTTGGGAGAATAAAAATACGAAATACAAATCCAAGTAGTAATAATGTACGATAAGTCGACCACGTGTTGTTTGACCGACTCGTGTGAGGCACCCCACACTCACACATGTGTTACATTTTTCTGCGCCGTCCGGACCGGTCCTAACTCTTGCAGTGTATATAGTGTTATATTATTAACATCAACTTGACCGGTTTAATTCGCAATATTCGCAATGATTTACTGCACAACATAAATAATTACACTTAACTAATATATGTGTTCATCGGATGTCTTATGAGAGACGCGTGGGCAAATTTATATATATGCCGGTTGAGTGCAATAAGAGTTCTGCAGAGTTATACGCGTCATATACATAATAACGTATAACTAAGCATTTCAGTTGGAGGAGGCTGGAGTCGAATGATGTAAACAGAGTCAAGAGTCATATCTCCACTCAGTTATAACAATAATAAAATTGAATATTGTTTGTGTAAGTTTATAAATCAAACATAAGGGTATTTTTAAAATTGTACACTAAAAATAAAGTTAACAAAATATTGTAGGTAAATTTATAATAACACGTATACTGGCACGTTTGCCTAGAAATCTGAGTGGGACTCAAACAATTATTGTGGGAGGACTTCATCCCCCCTCGAGCTACACCTTAGGTTATGTACAGTGACGGGGTGGTGTGGGAGTAGTTTGGTTTTTTATTTTATTCATTAACGGCGGGGTGCATTGTGCATAATAATATAATTATTATTGTAATTATTTATTTTACAAAAAAAAACAAACGAACGAACAACCTGCACGCGACGTACACATTGGTGTAGGTTTATTGTAATATATTTTTGAATTTTTAAAGTAACCCCAAATATAATATAATTATTATTCTGTTGCGAACATTTCTGCACTGAATAGGTACTAAATTTTTTTGCAAGCAAAGATACGCTCATTCAATAAGGGTAGTCGACGGGTGCCACCCCTCCACTGTTAAGTTTCGAAAAAAAAAAGATCGTTTAGTATAATAATATACAGCCTTTACTATACAGATGATTCGAAATTTTACTGCCCGCTTTACTTTAAAGTATAATATATAATATAGATGAACTACCCTTACTAACTTATTTCGTCGATTCCGACCGAACTCGAGAAAATCGAGCGCACTTCCACTCGCTTGTAGACCACTTTCAAATTTTATTCTGTTCGAAACGTCGTGTGTTTGACGTCGTCGTAAGCGCCACAGGGGTAGTGCGCGGGCCCTCACCCATCGAGACGTTTTTGCGACGGGCTTTCTCTATACATTTACGAGCACGCGAAAAATATTTACTGTTGCTTTTTTTCTTTTCCGTAGGTACTATTAATATTATTATTCGTTCTCCCTCTGTCTTTCTCCGCCGTCTTGCTGTCCGTCCAATAATCGTCGCCGAACACGTAACTGTGTTATTTCGTACACAAACCGCGCGGTTGTCCGCCGCCAACCCCGCGCACACCGCGCTCCTCGCGCACTCGTCGACGTTCACTTAACCCAGATTTAATTCGATTATATACCACACACACGTTCATAATATACCTCCACCGCTCGTGTGAGCGTGTCTGTGTATGTATTATACATATATAATTAGTGTGCACCTCCAGCAATAATGTATAACGCTCTGTTCCAGTTCCCCGCGGACACGGTCAAGGTTTTTAGGGTCTCCCCGTTGCAGCACATGACGTACTGTGCGTGCCTCTGCAGTATTACACGGCCAAAGACACACAGGGTGATCCGTTTAAGTGTCCACGCTCGTTGTACACTTCGAGAGATCTTAACTGTCTTGGAAATAATATTATCTTTACACGATTCAATGGCATTGCAAGACAGCACAATTGAAAGAATCTCCGTTTTTACCGTTATTCGTTTTTTAACGTTTTTTTTTTAACCGTGTACATTTTTAATATCATATTATTATTATTCGAAATATTATCATATTTTATAGTGATTTCGTTAAATCGAATTTTCAAACAGTGATTATTAGTTAGTTTTAACATTATACGCGAGATAAGTGTAGTATTTACATATATATATTAAATAACTAAACAAATATACATAATATACATACGTTTATTCATTACATAACTTAACAGTAGTTCGCGACGCAACTTCGCAACAAACACTGATAGACCACATATTATATTACTAGCCACACGGGTCGGTCGCGGTACACCATTATCGATAACGATAATGACGCTACAGATATCACACCTCCCCATTGAAACTAAACTACTACAAAAATTTGATTAAGTACTTCAAATGAAAAGTAATGAATTATTAATTAACAAACAGAAAAATAAAATTACATTTTTTTTTTTTTTTACATATCAATAATTACATTTTTTTTTTTTACATAATATATAATTACATTTTTTTTTTTACATAATATATAATTACATTTTTTTTTTTTTTACATATATATAATTATACAAAATATCAAGTGAGAATAATAGAATACACATAACTAAATACAATTAATGATTTTAATTTAAAATGAAATCTTTTAATTTGCTTGGTACGTTTATCATTCTTTTTTTAATTTTATTATCGTTCCTAACCGTGGAATTAACTACCTCATTTTCGCTATCATATTTTTGTGAGTCCGTTTCAACTATTGTAGCATCAATAATTTGATCAACGTGTCTAATAAATGTTTTACCATCGTTCGATTCGCATTCATATCTCTTAGTACCTAGTACTTTCTTCACTATAGCTTTTATCCAAGATTCCTTACCCCCTTGTTTGTAAAATTTAATCATCACCTCGTCACTTTCCTTAAATATTTTATTCTGACTGCCATTGTAATTTTTAATTGACTTATCTTGCTTTTCACGCACAACTTCCTCATCCGATTTATACAATAAATCTAATCTACAACGTAATTTCCTACCCAACATCAAAACTGACGGAGACTCTCCTGTAGTAGAATGTGGCGCATTTCTATAACCTAATAGAAATTTGTTTAATATGACTGATTTGGGTACATTTTTATTTTTATTATCCGCTAAAGCAGCTGATAAGGCATGCTTTGTTGTTTTAACCGCATTTTCTGCCGCACCGTTTGTAGCTGGGTGTCCCGGAGCTGTGCGTAAGTGAACTATGCCATTACTTTTTAAAAACGTTGTAAATATATGTGACGTTAATTGAGCGCCGTTATCCGACACTAATGTTACAGGTAACCCCCATCTACCAAATATCTCCCGCAGTTCCACAATAGTGTTGTCCGTCGTTATATTTCTCATCTCTTTTACCTCCAACCACTTCGAATACGCATCTAAAACTACCAAAAAATAACTATTATGGTACGGACCGAAAAAATCTATGTGTATTCTCTGCCATACACCGCTCGGTCTGCTCCATGGAATTAGCTCTGACTTCTTTGGATTTTGTCTTAACTGCATACAATACTTACAGGATTTAACTAAATTTTCTATATGTGCGTCAATCTTAGGCCACCAAACATACGATCTCGCAACTGCTTTCATTTTTACTATACCTAAATGCGTACTGTGTAACTCGTCTAAAATTTGTTTACGTGATTTACTCGGTATTACCACTCTGTATCCTAACATTAAACAGCCTTGCTCAACAGATAAATCGGTGTGCCTGTCCTTATATGGCTTGATATCATCACTAATCGATTTCGGCCACCCATGAGTCACATAATAGTATACTTTGCTAATGACTTTATCCCTATTAGATTGTAATTTAATCGTATTATGGTTTATCGGAAAATACTCGGATTCAATAAATGCCATATATGTGCTCTGCGGTTCACTATCAACCGAAACGACATATTTCCCTTTTATAGGTAATCTCGATAGTAAATCCGAAGTACAATTATCGTTTCCCTTGATATACTCGAGTGTATACTGAAATCCGGCCAAGAAAACTGCCCATCTCTGAAACCTTGCTGAAGCCATGGTCGGTATATTTTTATTTTCTCCTAAAATCCCAATTAATGGCTTATGATCAGTTCTAATAGTAAACTTTTGATTTTGTAAATATTGAAATAATTTCCTGACCGACCAATAAATTGCTAAAGCCTCTTTATCAGTGACGGAATAGTTGTTTTCCGCCGGCACTAATGTTCTTGAGATAAAACTAATTGGTCGCTCACTGCCGTCCGGCATTATATGCGATAAACAACCCGCGATACCCTCATTAGATGCGTCCGTTGACAAAATAATTGGGTAATTCGAATTAAAATGTACTAAAACATTATCTGAAATAATCAATTCCTTAATTTTATCAAAAGCTATTTGACAGTCCCGAGTCCAACTAAAATGTTTGTTCTTCGTTAGTAAATTATAAATAGGTCTCATAATAATCGAAACGTTCGGTAAGAATTTGGAATAATAATTTACCATACCCGCGAATGATTTTACTTGAGTTATATTACAAGGTGCTGGCGCGTCTACAATCGCTCTAATTTTATTTTCACATTTGCGTAAGCCTTCCGCTGAAATAATATGACCCAAATACTCAATTTCACTTTTGAAAAATTCACATTTCGATAATTTAACTTTAAAACCAGATTCATACAAAATGTTAAATACTTTATCTAAATTTTTTAAATGCTCCCTATTGTTTTGCCCGGTAATTATAATATCATCCAAAAAATTAGCTACACCTTCATGACCTTGGAAAAGTTGCTCTATTAATTTTTGAAATATTGCGCTTGCCGGCGCGACACCATATGGCAACCTATGTATTTTGAAAAGCCCTTTATGAGTGCTCCACGTTAAAATTTTCGAAGACTCTTCGTCTAACTCTAATTGGTTATACGCTTCGCTAAGATCAATTTTACTAAATTTTTTTCCTTTACTAACTTTTTGAAAAATTTCTTCAATTCTAGGTAACGGATATTTAACGTCCTGTACAAACTTATTAACCGTGACTTTGTAATCCGCACATAATCTAATTTTTCCATCACTTTTTAAAATTGGAACTAACGGACTTCCCCATTCGCTCGACTCAACCTGGGAAATTACACCTAATTTTTCTAATCTGCATAACTGTTCTTCTACCTTGTCCTTAAACGCAAACGGAATCTGTCTTGGTTTGAAAAATATTGGCGTAGCATCATCCTTCAACCTAATCTTAAATTTTTCATACACAAATTTACCCATGTCATCATTAAACAATTTTGAATATTTATTTTTTAATTGTTTCAAATTAATTTCGGTATCATCTAACATATTAATATTGGTTAATTTTATGTTAAATTTTTCCATGAAATCTCTGCCTACTAAATTTGGACCTCCTTTCTCCACAACAAAAATTTTAAAAAATTCGCAAGTCTTACCTCTGAAACACATGTCTGCTAAAAAGAAACCTAAAACGTTAATTTTTTCACCTGTATAGCCGCTAACATTTTTAAAAATCTTTTTTAAAATTATGTTTGTATCGAATAATTCGCGGAATGTTTTTTCCGAAATTACTGTTAAACCTGAACCTGAATCTAATTGTGCCTTTAATTTAATATTATTGATTTGTATGTCTACAATAATCGGTTTTAATTCGTTCGTTTGTATATTATAAATTACACTTTCATGAATATCGTTTTCTGTCGACTCTACATTCAAAAAATTTGTAGTTTTCGATTTGTTACATACCCTAGCCAAATGTCCTATAGTACCACACAAATTACAACGGTAATTTTTATATCTACAATTTTGCATACCTGTGTGTCGTTTACCGCACACCTTACATTGACTTTTCTCTAATGCCCCGACACCTTGATCCTTGCCCTTGAAATTTTTGCTGCCTCCGTTCGATTGAAATTGCCCATGTTTTTGCGCTCCTTGGTCACTTGTATTTTTTACCCATCGATCACCGTGTTCCGCATACCTCGGACCAGCATGTTTATGTTCCGTCGACGACGTGTAATGTTTTTTACGAACTTGTTGACTTTTTTTGTTTTTGATCCAATTTACTTGGTCTGTCTCGTTGACCAAGTAAGTTTCTTTTGCTAGTGCAATTTCGACGATTTGGGAAAAAGTTGTTTCACTGGTTGGTTTTTCCTCACAAATTCTGTCTTTAATTTTTCCCGATTTTAATCCGAAAACAAATTTGTCGATTAAAATACCTTCAAGTTTGTCACCACCAAAATTGCAATTGGTTGATAAATTTCTGATTCTTGCCGTAAAATCCGCAACTGATTCTCCTTCCTGCTGACTGGCCATATAAAAATTATTTCGCTCCCGGAAAACGTTTATTTTCGGAGTAAAATGATTTTCCATCAACGTGCACAATTCTTCAAAACTTTTATTTTTTGGTAGATCTGGTGTACACAAATCCCGTAGTAACTTGTACGCATCTTGACCAATACAGCTTATGAATGCCGATTTTTTTAAATCAGCCTTAATTTTATTCACTTCCAAAAATTGTTCCAACTGTTCCTGATATATTTTCCAGCTGTCGACATCGACGTTAAACTGTGCTAAACTGCCCATATATGACGTCATCCTTTTATCTTCGTCGCCAATGTAGTATTTACATATATATATTAAATAACTAAACAAATATACATAATATACATACGTTTATTCATTACATAACTTAACAGTAGTTCGCGACGCAACTTCGCAACAAACACTGATAGACCACATATTATATTACTAGCCACACGGGTCGGTCGCGGTACACCATTATCGATAACGATAATGACGCTACAGATATCACAATAAGTATAGTGGATCAACATTATGCGAGGTACCATTCTACTCGCCGCTCGTCTTTTTACTTTATGCACTTATAAATCATCATTAATTAACCACTCGTTGGAAATTCGAGTAGGTAACGGAATCTCTGTAAAATATTCTGCTGCTGAATATGATATTAAAAATATATTATGTTGTGGTAAGAAAAAATTGAAATTCTTAAAAATCAATAAAAGTATCTATATAAAATGGAATTTTTTTCAAAAACAATATTGTTTTGCGATGACATCTGCAAATCAAAAAAAAATTTGAAACAATATGAGTGCCGATATGTTTACGCATAGAATATGTATCACCTTGTATGCATGACGTACAATAATTATTATAACGTACATTATCCGTTTCGTATCGCTCGCCCACTGCAGACAGACGGACAAACATTCGCACCACGCATAGGCACGTTCCTATATATATACGTGTAATATTATTATATTATACCAAGGCATACTCGTGCGTGATAATAATATTATCGCCATCGCTGTTTGCTAATATAATATATATATATATATATATTTGATATTATTCCCCATAGGACCATATTATAGGATCTATATATAATATATATTGCAGAGGATCCCACAGGATCGTTGCAGCCCGGCTATACGACGATCACTGAGCTGCAGGCTAAGGGTAAAATAGACGAAAAGCGGGTGAACACGCTATATACGTACTTTGGGGGAATTGACAGTACCCAACATAGTTATGTAATTATTGTTATGTTATCATTCGATTATCGTTCGCCCCAGGACCAAATCTTGGTCGTGGTATATACGCGCGTGCCAATTATTTGAGCGATGTTTGGCACTCGTCGTCCATCGTTGATGATGCAGAGCTTCCACGGCGCCGTTGCGCATTGCTGGTTCGCTACATAAACCATCATACACATATATATATATATATATGGCTATATACGATGGAAGGTTTATATGTATATAGAACGGAAATAATATTATTCTATCTCTCGAATCGCGTTATCGTTAGTATACCGGACAGATAACAGCTGGTTTTAATCGTACTATAATATATATATATAGTAGGTATATGTACCGTTTTAGCCACGACCCGGTTTGAGCGGTGGTTTGAAAAGTGAAAAAGTCGAATCCGCTGTGTAGACTAGCTGCTATATAGGTATATTAATATTTCCCGGTAATATCATGGTGCTGTTCAGCCGTCATTTTTGGAAATTCGCAAAACACAATAATATATATAATTCTTGTTATTATTGACTGTTTTTTTTTTTTTTTAAATAATTTTTTATATCCACGGCCTGCCAGGAAAAACGATTATCGTCCGTCCCACATTATATTAATGCTTAATACACTGCACCAGTTTGGCGGACACAACCGACTCGATATTTTGCCCCCATTTTATACCTGCAGTATAAGCGACGTCAATTTCACCGGAACGTGACTTTTTCTCCCCCCCCCCGAGGTGCGTCTTCTAGTGATCATTACACGCACGCGCATATGTTCGCATAATTTTTTTTCTTATATATCCACGACATCTTCCGAAATTTAGTTAATTGCATCTGCAGTTCCTTTATACGACTTTCGCCAGAGCGGTAATACGCTTCGGTGTGTATCTGCCTAATTTAAAAAAAAAAATCTGCACACGCACACCCGTAAATCTTCATGATAATGATATGTCGATAACGGATTATACAATTTCGAAAACTCTCGTGTTTACTATATAATAGGTACGTCGTATTTGATAATTTATATTAGTACTCGAAAGCCAAAGACTGTTGTGTTTTTATTCACTACCGCATATAGATTTACGCGATGACCAATTTCGTGAAGGCGCGGACAGGAGTACTTTCAAGAATAATGTGATTGGATTGTCTATCTAGCTTGGGTCTGGAATGATTTCTGAATTTTTTACGGTAACATTGTCTTACGATTATAATGTTAACTCCCTTTCAGAGTTATATATATATATGCAATAAATCAATTAATATTGTTCTGATTAAAAAAATATATATATATATCTTATTATTGCCATAGGTATTGTATTGGTTATACTATTTTAATATAATTGATGGCGTGCCTTGCGCATTGTGATAAAACATTTTTAATGGTGTTCTGTGCGAATGTACAATATACAGATATAGGTACTAATTACTATTTTATTACGAAATCCGCGAAAATAGGGCGTATACCGAGGAGATAATAAAATGCCCCATTGTATCCATGTGCGATTTACGGTCCATACAGCTACGTCATAATATTATCTTTCAGCACCGATGTTTATACACTTCGTGTAATGTGTCTGTGCACGCAGATATTATTTCAGAGTGATCCAATATAATAATATTATAATGCGTATATTATGATATCGATAATATTAACGTATTGTTTAGTGCATATATATTACAGTCGTTTGGCTCCAATGTATAGTGTATACGTCTATATATATAGCTTATAATATATAGTGTAAATGTATTTAGGTAGAGCGGAAAATGTGACCAATTTTCCGTTCTTTTCCGTCTCCAAATCCAACGAATATATTATGAGGTTTTATTAGCAAACACTATAAAATGGCGTTTAACCCAATCCAATGAAATTTTTCATTATATAGATTCTAAGATTAAACTTAAAATAAGGTTTCATATTATTTTCTACGAAATCCACACCGGATGGATTGCCTAATATATTCTCGAGCTAAAATTAATTTCGTTAATTAATTTAACAAAATACACCCACTTCTTCTGTTATTCTCCGAGTAGGTATAACAGTATAATTATATTCATTGGCGTATAGAAAGATTTTTTTTTTTTTGTAACTAATTAGCTATTTAAAAAATTAATTTCACCACAATATTTGTTGTTAAGTACTCAACCGACATAATGTACCGCAACATTCACCATTTTCGTTAAAAATAACAGGATCTCAATATCTCAGGTTAGGTTTTCACAAAAAAATTCATAATTTTAGGCTTTTTCATTAATTCATTTTTCTAGTTATATGAGCTACCATAATAGTATACTAGTAAAATACCCAAACTGCTAATAACAACAATAAAAACAAAAAAGGATAATAATTATTGCAGCCAATTTTATCGTTTATTGCAGCTCTGAGTACAGAAGAGCGTACACCCTGCGCATAGTCATACTGAAGTATTCGTTTGATAGATAAAATAAAGTGATAATTCAGTAAATGTATATAGTATAGAAGTCTGAAGTATTCGTTTGAGAGATATGATAATACAGTGATAATTCAGTAAATGTTAAGTATGGAGGGGGATGTTACACGTGTACTATATTATTATGATTATTACACACGTCTTAAAACGATATTGTGAATAATCGTGTATAATATTATTATGGATAATAATGAATGAACGTAGCTCGGATGACTGGCGAAAGTGATTTGTTTTTTTTTTTGGTTCGATTGTCGGGACGAGAAAGACTTGCCTGCAGAATACGCTGTGCGCAGGATTAACGGTTATTATTTTAAATTAACTGCGTGTATAGTCCTATACGATGGAACCAGTTCGAGTTCGTGTATAATTCACGCTTGCAGAATGACTGCGACAACGAAGACTGATGGTCGGGTCGTATATCTGGGTCGGCAGGCGGCGAGTGCGATGAATGAAATATTATTATCAACAATGACCGAAAGTATCAGTGCAGACTATACGTTGCAGAGGCCACCACTATATAAACCGACTATAGGAGGAACTCGTGTTCACAGATTATAATATGATGTACTCGTATTCTATGAGATAATGGTAAATTGTCGTGGTGACACGTCGTGTGTTGTGTGCAACAATCATTCGGGTCAGAAAATTCGATTAAAATTGAGGCGCGTGTTTTAAAAAAACCATTTCCGGCGATATCTTATCAGCACTCTAACGCCCTCGTACCCGCCCTACCAATATAACATATATAATATTTCGTGCACGCTAATCTTAATGATTCGTTTACCGAATAGAAATGTGTCGTTTGATAACAATACATTGTGCCAGGACATCATCACGAGCATAAATTGACATATTTTCCGAACTTATGATGTCTTCTGCTGCACGACTCTAATTATCATCCTTTTTATACCGCGGAACATCCTGAAAACATACGGTGGTAACAAACTTCGATCGATTGAAACGGCTACGACTATGTTTCATTAAGCAGTGAATCGTCCGAAAACTATAATTTTATTTCAAACATATTACCTATAATACCTATTATTACTTATTTGGTTATTTTATTATGTTTAACATAATATTTACCGAAGCAATGGTGTTAAGTAATACGCGCACTTAGGTGTACCTGTGCACGGTTTTTAAAATGCAGGTAAACTGATATTTATATTATATTAACGTCGGTATATTATCACGAAGCACATAGTTTAACGATGATTTGATTTTAATGAGCCGTTTAAATTTTAGTGCCCCAAAATATATAACCTCCGACTTAATGATGCGTTTAACGATGGTTTTAAGAACCTATATAGTAGCTGTTACGGACGGCTATATCTATATAGGTAATAAACATTTATTTCGTTTTTCAGATTATTATGGTTTAATAACATCTGACCCCGATTTTAATAATGTACACAATTTCCAAATGTGTTATGAATACGACTCATGACTGTAATATAGTATGGATGTGATAAACATTTTCGTAGATTATTTAAATTATAATAAATTGTACGTTTATTCTCGTGAGTTCCGTTAAAGCGGCCATTTTTTACTCTCCGTAATCAATATGATATTATTATAATAAACAATATTATTACAAATCCTAC